AGAACCCCATGCCTCAGAGCCCTACCTCAACCGCCCATAAAGAGCACCCGCCCCACGCCACCCCATCCGACGCCCCCCCACGCGCACAGGACCCACCAGTTGAGGATCCAACCCCCACGCGCAGCGAAGGACCGCACATTCTTTCCTACCCTCCAGAGTCAATAAGCAACTCGGAGTAAGCGGTTGCCCCTGACCCTTGGTGGATCGAGGAGCAAGGTTTTCTGAAGGCATTAAACGTGTGTATTCGAGCGTTTCTGATCCTCTTCGGGTCTCGGGGTGCATCTCTGGGCCCTGGGAACCTCTGAGGACCCCATTCGGGGCGGGAGCGGGGGCAAAAGCAAATCTTGCCGGCGCGACTGATACCATCCACCGCGTCCTCTCAGCCCGTCTTCGACACCAACTCCCTCACGCGTCCTCCTCATGCTCCGCCTCCTCCTCCCTTCCTCCTTCTCCTTCTGTTGACCTCCTCCTCCTCCTTCTGCTCCTCCTCTCTCTCCTCCTCCTCCTCCTCCTCCTCCTCCTCCTCCTCCTCCTCTCCTCCTCCTCCTCCTCCTCCTCCTCCTCCTCCTCCTCCTGCTCCTCTTCCGTCCTCCTCCTCCTCTCCTCCTCCTCCTCCTCCTCCTCCTCCTCCTCCTCCCACGCAACACTTCATCCCCATCCTTGTAATCTGGCTCTCCAATTCTTCTCATTTGACCCTTCTGTTTTCCCCTCCCCACCTCATCTCCCCGCCATGCCCCACAATGCATATGTTCCAACCTCTGGGGGCAAAACAAATTCTTCGATTGGGAATATGGTATGTGTTCAGTTGCGCTTGCAGGTGCCTGCAAGGTGCGCAACGTTGCTGCACTATGTATGTGCTGCTGCGCACTCCTGTGTCCTTCCGCTTCCTGCAAGGATTCGGCCAGGCGGCTGGCCTGACACAGCACCTGCAACGACGCACAACACGACTATGGACACTGCGCGTGCCGCAGTAGCGTGCAAACGCCGCAATACCAGGGCGTCCATCCTTGGATATTCTGAGATCCTGCGCCCATCCTCCTCCTCCTCGTCCTCCTCCTCCTCCTCCTCCCCTCCTCCTCCTCCTCTCCCCCTCCCCTCCCTCCTCCTCCTCCTCCTCCCCTCCTCCTCCTTCCTCCCTCTCCCTCCTCCCTCCTCCTCTCCTCCTTGCTCCCTCCCCCTCCTCCCCCCTCCCCTCTCCCCCCTCCCCCCTCCTCCTCCTCTTCCGTCCTCCTCCTCCTCCTCCTCCTCCTCCTCCCTCCTCCTCCCTCCTCCCTCCTCCCTCCTCCCTCCTCCTCCCTCCTCCCTCCTCCCCTCGCTCCCTCCCTCCCTCCCTCCCTCCCTCCCCTCCCCCCCTCCCCCTCCTCCTCCTCCTCCGTCCTCCTCCTCCTCCTCCTCCTCCTCCTTCTCCCTTTTCCTTTTTTTTTCTCCTCCTCCTCCTCCATGACACTTGAACAAAATGAACTCTACCCTCCTCTCTCCCCTGATGACGTCCAGAAATTATCCCGCCCCCCTCCGCGTACTGTCTGTTTACACAGGATTCCAGGGAAATGGGCTTTCGCTTGATTTGTGTTCAACATGTTGCTCCCGCCGTAGCGTTGGGACCATTTCTGCGCCTCTGGTTGTTCGGGGAGCCCAAGAAGCTAGACATGGAACCACGACTCCAGACCGGCCCAGACCTCTCGAAGACGATCCACTCACCCTCCAAGGATACCGGCCCCATGCCATGATATGCTGTGCGGTGTTGTGTTCTGCGCCGCTGTGCGATGCCATGCATTGCGTCGCAATGCTTTGTGATGCAATGCTTCACTACGCAATGCCACCCGGTGCTATGGCATGCTACTCTCTGCCGTGCTCTTCTACGCCATGCCATCCCGTACTCTGCCATGCATCGCGTACCCTCTCGCGATCATTGCCCTGCTCGACATCCGACTGTGCGAATAGAGAGGATACCTACGCGATGGTGAGGGATGGGAGGGAAGGGTAGGACGTCAGATATGATGCGGTAAGGGATGGGAGGGAGGTGTAGGACGTCAGATATTACGCGAGAGCACCTACCTTGTCCCCCCCCCTCCGTCCCTCCCTCCCTCCCTCCCTCCCTTCCCTCCCCCGAAGTGCAAAAGCGTACTCGTGGACTGGGCAGGTCGACTCCTCCACCCAGCTCTGCTCCAATGGGGGGGAGGGGGGGGGGCGAGCACAATTTTGGGGTTTTGGCACATGAGTGCGAACACGTGGCCTCACGCGCGAACGACGACAATGGGACCGAAGATGTGGCCTCCCGTGCGAGCGAAAACAATGGAAACGATGCTGAGGCCTCGCGTACGGGCGAAGCTACTGGACACTCCGCCGTTCCAGGAGGACCCTGCTTGAGCGAATAGCGGCCCCTCGCCCGTTTCGGGGCACATCCCCCCACATTTCGAACGACACGCACGACACAATCATATCATTAGATCTAATGCACGACACCACTATCGCATCATACCCAAGGATGGTCGTTTTTGTTTACGCACGCCCCGGTAAGGCTGCGACCACAAGAACTTTCTCTTGAGCGCCTCAGCACCTTGCAAGCACCACAACAGGCACATCCGCAACACAGTGCGCTCGAGACCACCTGAAGAAAGCTGCGCCAATCCAGATCTACAATACGACAGCCTTCGAGCGCCACATTTGCGAAACAGCATGCCAGACCTTCCGAGCGCCACAAGTGCCTGCAAAAGAGGAGGACGACGACGACGAGGGGGGGGGCTGATGATGATAATGAGGAGGAGGAGGAGGAGGAGGAAGAGAAGAAGGCGGAGGAGGAGGAGGAGGAGGACGAACACGACGACGAAGGCGAGGAAAACGAGGCGAAACAGGATGACGATGAGGAGACAATACGAAGTAGAGAGAGAGAGAGAGAGAGAGAGAACGACGAGGACGACGACGAGGACCACAACGACCACGACAAATCGAAGAGGACAACGACGACGACGACGACGCGGACGAGACAATGAGGACGACGAGGACGACGAGCATGAGGGTGGTAATGAAGACGAGGAGGAGGGCGAGGAGAACGACCAAGGGGTTCTTGACGAACAGGATGATGAGGGTAGGCGAGATGGAGGAACAGCAAGATATGATCACGAGGACGAGGGAGACGGGGGCCGATAGGGAGAACGAGGAACACGACGATGCGGAGCAGCAACGGACCTCCACGGCGGCGGCGGCGCCCTCCTGGAAATCGTAGCACTCTGGGCGCCCCGAGCGAGGAGGGATGGCACGAGAGCCTCTCGCAGAAGAATAGGGGGCCAGATGCGAACCCTACCCCTACCGCCCTCAGAGATCGTGGGGGGTAGGGGCAGGGTTCGCATCTGGCCCCCTAAAAAGGAAAAAAACACGGCACAAACCTAGACTGCTGGCGCTCCGCGCGGACTCCTCGGATCCGCGCCGGGGCCCCCCCTCCCTGGCGCGCGGTGCGCGCCAAAGGTCGGCGCTGGAGGCGCCGCCGGGGGGCCCCAGCGCGGATCCGAGAAGTCCGCGCGGAGCGCCAAGGGTTTAGGGTTTATGCCGTGGTTTCCTCTGCGATCTCGGATGCCACAACTGACCATCTTGGCAAAGAGGAATTCGCCCCGCTGGCCGCAAGGGGATTTTCCAGATTCCCGGGCCCTGGGGACAGGCGGCGGCGGCGGCAGCGACGCCTGCCGCAGCCAACGCCAGCGCCGCCGACGGCGAGAGGCACCGAAACAACCGCACGTGAACACTGCACCGTGAGCAACACACTGTGCTCGCGACCGGCGGGCGGCCAGGGAAACCACACTGTGGCAACGTCACGACGGTGTGCCAGCGCCACGTGTGTACGCATCACCATGCCGGGCTGTGCGCAAGGATCACAGTAGCCTGTGAGCACCACAGCATGTCTGTTAGCGGAAGCAACAAGCCTATGAAGAACAGCAGCCAGCGAGCAGCACAGTAGCCGGAGAGCACCAGTATGGCCTGCGATGGCAACAATGGCCTGCGAGCACCACGCAGGCGAGACGACCGCACGTTACACGTTGCTCCCAAGCCACGGTGCACAAATGGACTGCGGCAAGGGCGGGGGCGCCACTGCACTGGGGCGGGGGGGGGGTGCGTTGAGCGGAGGCGGGAGGTGACGTTACGTGACGAGGGGGGTGTTGAAGGGAGGGAGAGGAGGCCACAACGCGCATGATGGCCCAGTACAAGATCACACCAGCACAGGGGCCCTAAACATCAGCGCTGTCCGAGAAGACTTCTCCGTCGGCGGCGAGGCATTGACAGTCCGCCCCAGCGTGTGGCAATGCGGGGCAACCGAATGGCGAATTGGCCGGCATGCAAGGGAGGGACAAGGACGAGAGCTGCACGAGAAGACATATGTGGCGTCTGAACACTTGGGACTTGGGACGGCACGGCCAAGGTACGGCACGGCACGGCACCTGCTTCGCAAGCTGGGCCTCGGGCACAGCGCGAGGCCAAAGCACGGCGCACGTCTCTCGCACTCTGCAGCCCTGGGCACGGCACGGGCACGGCAGGGGCACGGGCACGCGTCACGCATCCTCGGCCTCACAGGCACGGCGAGGACGCGGCACTCCACGGCACCACCCGGGCGGCAAAACTCTGCGATCTATATATATATATATATATATATATATATATATTCCTATATTTTTACAAGCCC